CAGAACCCTCTGTTGTGATCCTGGTCAGAGCAGTCAGCGGTGGTAGCCGGGCACCATCTAGCTGTACTGGACTCAGTCCGGTGAAGGTCTTGGTAGCTGTTTTATGATCTCCTAAGCTGAATGAAGGCCATGTTTTCATAAACAGATTATCTCCCTAAATGACATGTTGAATCAGGATCTGTCAATCAAGTTTTTAGGATGTGCTTTGTTTCAGTTACAATGTATATTTTATGACAAGCTAATTTAAAACAACATTTCTTGTGAACACACATAGAATGAATGCTAAGAAAGGAGTTTGGGTTTTGATTCTAGATTGAATGTTAAATAACCTCACAATTGCTATTGGCCTTATAGTGAACATTATACAGGAAAATCACAAAGAGAGCCTTAAATTAGAAATGTGGTATTTTTGTCTTTTTCCTACCATCAATAATACCATCAACCTAATACAGGAGCTACTAGCTGCACTGGATTAACAATGCACCCTAAAATAGAGCTTGAGTGCAAAGAATGTCCTTTTAATTCTCCAGCATCACAGAACAAGGAGGAGAGAATTCTCCTGGCTCTCATTCCTATCGCAAGAAAAGAAATTGCTGCTTCAGTCTTTGTACAAGTTCATAGACCCTCTCATATTTGAGGAACAGAAGACAATATGCAGTAACTGCTTTAGGGCCATTCCTAACTCTAGGATCAAGTCTGTTGACGTTTGAAATCAAATACTCTACCATGTTCCCCTCAGGCAACTCTCTCGTCATAAAACTCATTCAACTTATTCAAGTTTAGTTATTAATAGATGCAGCTCATATAATATGATTTTAGGGGCAATAGAAGGTCCACTTCTCAAAATAAGTCCCTCCACCACACAACCCAATACAAAGCATAAAAATAATTTATTACATCTTCCATTTTATTAAGGTAAAGAAACCCCTGATTATTCAAATGTTAGCTGTGGGAAAGAAACATTAAGGTGTTATTTGTCGTTAACACTTTAACATAAATTAGATTATCAGATTAGGTGGACTGCAACAATGGCAATGAAGAAGGTAAGTTTTGATGGAAAGAGAAGTTGGAGGAAGAAAAGGGCTGGTGCTTGAGGAGCTCCAGGTAAGGTTGTTCCTCAGTGAAAGTGTCATACTTAAGGG